GGAGCACTCCCCTCTGGAGACTGCAGTTGCTGCAGACACTCACTGAGTGGAGCACTCCCCTCTGGAGACTGCAGTTGCTGCAGACACTGTGTCTCACTGAGTGGAGCACTGCCCCATGGAGACTGCAGTTGCTGCAGACACTGTGTCTCACTGAGTGGAGCACTCCCCTCTGGAGACTGCAGTTGCTGCAGACACTCACTGAGTGGAGCACTCCCCTCTGGAGACTGCAGTTGCTGCAGACACTCTGTTCAAGCTGAGGACAGTTCTCATAGCACATTGCTCCTCTTCCAGGGTCATAGATGGTCTGGAGACCTTGGATGAGCTGGAGAAGTTACCAGTGAACGAGAAGACATACAGACCTCTCAATGACGTGCACATCAAGGACATAACTATCCACGCCAACCCATTTGCTCAGTAGCTACCGCAGGCCCGGACAGACACTTGGCAAGTTCGTCACTGGGACATGCCCATTGGCCTTTATCCTTCTGGTGTTTACAGTGATGACATCTGTCATGGGGCCATAGTGTTCACTCCCAGTCGTGAGCATATTCTGTACCACTGCTGTTATCAGTGTTTAAATACAAAGCAATGCCTTATTTTTTTAAGGCTGGACATTCATAACTAAGAATAAGCCTCCATGTGTGATTTATTTGGGAGCTGGGAGGTAGGCCCCTAAAAAGCCAAAAGAAAAACAAAAAAAAAAAAACAAAAAACAGGCCTCTTAAACACAGAAATTTAAACTTAAAATATAATGTTAGCCATCACATAATCTTAGTTTCATTTAACAGCATATGGCCTCCCATCCAGCCACCTCCCCCATGCACATCTGTGAAGTATTCTCATCTGGTTCTGTTTGAATAACTAACATCAGTTTTACCCTGGAAACATTTGTTTCTTGTACTTGTTTAATAAAATGCTGATTGGGGCCGGGTGGTGGTGGCGCATACCTTTAATCTCAGCACTCAGGAGGCAGAGGCAGGCGGATCTCTGAGTTCGAGGCCAGCCTGGTCTACAAGAGCTAGTTCCAGGACAGAAACCAAAAAGCTACGGAGAAACCCTGTCTCAAAAACTTAAAAAAAAAAATGCTGATTGGGGCTGGAGAGATGGCTCAGAGGTTAAGAGCATTGCCTCCTCTTCCAAAGGTCCTGAGTTCATTTCCCAGCAACCACATGGTGGCTCATAGCCATCTGTAGTGAGATCTGGTGCCCTCTTCTGGCCAGCAAGCATACAGACAGAACACTGTATACATAATAAATAAAATAAATCTTTAAAAAAAAAAACAAAACCCTGTCCTGGAAAGTCTCCAATCCCTGTCCCTTGTGTCCAGGTCACCCCAGCTCAGCTCAGCTCACCCCAGCCTAGCTCAGCTCACCACCAGGTGTTTCCTGGCAGGCCGGTGGGACAGGGTACTGTGGTCAGGGTGCAAGTGGCAGTTAGGGCTGTTTTGCAAGTTTTGTACTTTTCCACTGCTGATTGTCATCCACCTAGGGCATATGCTTAAAGCAGTTGCAAGCAAGCTTTTTGAGTTGGGGTCTTACAAGACATAGCTGAAGCTTTGGTTGCTGCTGTTAAATCGACAAAACTCCCACCAGCCTGGTCATAAACTCCATCAGAGATCTGAGAAGGTAAATGTCACCGCAGTAGGCAGGAAATGCAGACCAAACAGCTGCAGAATCTAATAAAAAAAATGACAGAAACTAACCCTGGCTCGAAAAAAAAAAAAAAAACATTTAAACGGTTGCAATCAGGGCGCGCGTGCTCCTTCTGACCTTGCTTCCCTCGCCCTCTGCAGTGCGATGTTTGCAGAGTCAGATCAGGTTTTTCTGTGAGCTGAGGAGACCATCACCTTGATTGCACTGTGGGAAGGGATTCTCAGAGGAAGCCTTAGAGAGAGCGCCTCTGACTCCGCGGTGCCCCCCCCCCCCGCTGGCCCGCGCCTGCGCACTCGGGGCGCACGCAGGCCCCGCCCTTCCGCGTCATCCGCGTCTTGAAGAAGAAGCCTGCGCCGCGGCAGTCAGCTCCATTTTGTGCCTGGAGTTCGTCGTCGTAGTTGTGTCTGTCGCCTTCGCCTTTCCCGCCGTCGCCTTGCGAATTCTTCACCGCGGTCGGCGTCCCTGCGGAAAGGTAAGCCGCGGGGTCCGAGCGTACGCTGCCCCGCCGTGCGCTCCGAGGACCGCGCTGGGCGTCGCGGTGCTGGGCCGGCTCCCCCTTTCCCGGCGCCGGCTCCCCCTTTCCCGGCGGCAGCTCCCTCCGCTCAGCCCCGCCGAGCCCTCGCCTCCGGACCTGCCCTGTGGCGGGGACGGTGCCCCCGCCGGGGCGTCCCGAGCGAGGGCGGAACCAGGGCCCCCGGCGGCAGCGGCCGCGCCTAAGATGGCGGAGGCGCCCGGGCCGCGCTCGCTCCGCGCGGAATGGCGTCGCCGGGGCGCGGCCTCCGCGCCGCTCGCTCTCGGAAACCCGGTTTCGGGGCCGATTTTCTGTCTCTGGGGCCCAGGCGGGCCCCGCAGGCCGGTGTGGGCGCTGTGGGGGACAGCTTAGAGAGTCCCCCAAGGCGAAAGCCGGCCTCGGGGAAGAAAACTAAAGAATCCAGTTTTGCTGGTGCAGAAAGCGCAGGCGCAGGGCTCGTAAAGACGAGTTTAGGATTTAGGCGGCTCCAGAGATTGTGAAATCCTTATTTCGACAGGCCACAGAGGGTGTACTTTGTAGCAGTGTTAAAGGTTAAAATATTTTTTTTCTTGGTAAACGAAAGTTGTAAAACGTACTCGGAAGGGGCATTGTTTACCTTTAGGAAACGGGAGGGGGCGCCCTACGAGTGTGAATCATCTTATCCTCAGTAAACAATTTTCATTCCCGTCATCGTCATGGCTGCCCTGTCGGCAAATTGGTTGTATTTATTAGTGAAGCTTGAAGTTTGCTGGCTCAGCACGAAAGGCAAGGCAGTTCGGCATACATATTTTCCTTCTCGGGCTTTCCCCCCACCACGTCTCCATATTTTTTCCCTGTCTCCCTCTGCTAACGGTGGAGATTTACTTGAAGGAGCATTAAAAATGAAGTCACCTGTGGAACGGCAGTTTTGAGCTGTAACAAACACATCTAAACAGATAAAAGTTAGGGTTAGTTCCGGGTGCTTTGGGGAGATTGAATTGTGTGAACCTTCTGGAAGGGTAGTGGTAAAAATCTTACCTGGGCTATTTAGAAACCTTTTTTTCTACTTTTATAAATTTGGGCACGGTGAGAACGAGGTAGAAAATGTGAGGACAAAATTCAGATTCCAGAATCTGAGACAGTGCAGTAATTTTTTAAAAATATTTATTTATTATGTATACAATATTGTCTGTGTATGTGCCTAAAGGCCAGAAGAGGGCGCCAGACCTCTTTACAGATGGTTGTGAGCCACCATGTGGTTGCTGGGAATTGAACTCAGGACCTTTGGAAGAGCAAGCAATGCCCTTAACCACTGAGCCATCTCTCCAGCCCCAGTGTAGTAATTTTTATGATTTCAAATAATTGACAACAAAAGGCCAGCAGCGCTGGGCATGCTAGGCCTTTAATCCTAGCACTGCATAGGGAGGGGCAGGCAGATCTGAGGTCAAGGCCAGCGTGGTTTACTTAGTTCCAGGACCACTAGAGGGAGATTATTTGGGGAAGAAAAGAAAAAACAAAACTAGCATGAGTTTGCAAAGGAAGCTTTTACTAGTGAACATCGCAGAAATCGATTTCATTAGAACCATTTGTCTTGTGTAGATGAGACATCTACAGAGAACTTACTATCATGCCTGGGATGAGAGAGATTGCGATTATGGAGCCTGGAACAGCAGCAGCCATAAGAGAAGGAGATCACACAGCAGTGGTCGGGAGCATAAGCGATGCAGATACGATCACTCCAGAACAACCGATGGGTAAGAGGGGCAGCGGGTCAGAGTACTGGCGGCGCTTGCAGAAGACAGTTGGGTCCCAGCTCTTCAGGCACACTCAGTATAACCTGTAACTCTGGCTCCTCGGGACCAGTGCCCTCTCCTACACTCCTGGGCAATACCTGTACAGAGAGGCGGATGCATGTGATCAAAATTATATCTGCACATTAAGGAAATCCTTTTTTTTTTTTTTATCTGAACAGTGGTGGCACACGCCTTTAATCTCAGAGGCGGAAGCAGGAGATCTCAGGACCACACAGAGACCCTGTCTTGAAAAGCAGCTAGTAATGTAACTCAGGTGTAGATGGCTTGCCCGCTGTGCGTGAAGCCTGGGGACCACATAACTGCGGTCACTCAGTTGCAGGGTCAGAGATGAGTGGTAGAATACTTAGCTTGGGCAAAGGCCTTGAGGTCAGTCCCCTATGCTGCAGAGAACTTGGAAATCGGTGTTGGGTTTTGTGTGTTTTGTTTTGGTGTATAAAGCAATTTTCTCTTGTAGCTATTATCTGGGGAGCAGATCCATAAACGAGAGAACATATCATAGCCGGCGCTACGTTGAAGAGTACAGGAACGACTATATGGGCTGTGAGCCGGGCTATTACTATGGAGAGCACGAAAGCCGGTATCAGAACCATAGTAGCAAGTCCTCTGGTAGAAGTGGACGGAGCAGCTACAAAAGTAAACACAGGATCCACCACAGCTCTTCACATCGACGCTCACATGGGGTATGCACACTTTTTAACCTTCTGGAGGTTTTATTTCCCACAGACAGGAAGCAGATTTGTGTTGAGAAAAGTTAAGATTGATCACATCACAATTCCAGTGTGCCAGGAGTGTTCTTTTAGGATTTGTGCACTGCATAGGGAATTCACGAAAAGAGTATTTAGTTCTGTAGTAATAGACTTGTTGACGACTCCTTAGTTACTAATTGCCATTTCATTAGTGGAGGGGATGACTTAAAAATTATTTAAAAAATATTTTCTTAATGCTATTTTAAAAAGTTTTATTTTGATGAGTTCAGTTAGTTTATTATAAAGAATTAATTAGTTAGGTACTTGTGTGAGGGTTAGTTGACTTATTTAACCTGTTTTGTAATCTTTTTCTCATTAAGTGAACTACAGATTTGAACTTAGTTTCTTGTATTTGAAAATCATAGCAGATGACATTTTAATGCTATAATGTTACATGCCAAATCTTTTTTCCCTCCCAAAATTAGCACTGTGGTTTACTGCTTTAATACCTATTTTAGAGAGGGAACTTTAATTTGGCCACAGTGTGCTACAAATAAATACTACATCCTACAGTTATGTAGAAATAAGGACACTAGAAACCTAAAATTATGTTTCAGTGAATGCTACAGATAAGTATTTTTAAAAAAACAATTGTGTTTGTGTTTTGTTGCCTTACCATATTGAGTATCTTATCTGAAAATCTGTTCCTTGCCATGTTTTTCTTCTGTAACATAAACTGTGCCCTGTGAATTTCTGGGGACTGAATTTGAAATTGCTCCTGCCAACTGTTCGTGGCCTGGTGCTTATCTGAATGCCTGAATATCTCCCCGCTGAATGAATTTCGTATTCTGCCCTGAATTCACTCGGGTATATTGATTGGCTGGATGATCTTGGTGCCGCCCACTTGACGTTTCCAGAAGAGTCACCGAAGGAAAAGATCGAGGAGTGTAGAGGATGATGAGGAGGGTCACCTGATCTGTCAGAGTGGAGACGTACTAAGTGCAAGATGTATAGAATGTTTTTCAACACTTATTCACTTTTCAGATAACATAATCTATATGTATAGATTAAGATTTTAGGGTTTTGGAAATCTTTTCTTTCTGTTTTGTTTTGCTTTGCTTTATTTTCATTTCTTTTGGTGGGAGGGGCTTATGTCTTTACTTTCTTTAGAGTTTTTATAATATTTGTTGTACAGAAATTCCAGAGCAGTAAATCAAGTTAATGCAATTAGCCTGAGAATGAAATCAATTGTAAGACTAGTTGTATGTTTTTGGATGGTGTTGGATGATAAGTAATTAAAGATGAGGAAATTTGTAGCATCTCCTAGAATAATCTGCACTGATAGCTTTTAAGTACATTGTTTCCCCTTCTTGTTATGAGTGAGATGTATTTCTCTTTTTTAGATGAGGTTGTTGATACCCTAGGTGAAGGAGCCTTTGGGAAAGTAGTGGAGTGCATCGATCATAAAGCGTAAGTTTCAGAACCTTGGGGTTCTTCTGTAGAGAAAATCAGTTTAGCTGATACCCATACAGGCTTTTTAGCTTGGGTCTTTTGACTTAGGCTGTAGGAAATTCATAGGTAAAGATAATTTCCCTTTGTTTAGATTTTTGAGACTGGGTCTTACTGTGCAGGCCTGGAATTCAAAGTGCTGGGGTCAAAGGTCTTTACCTGGTCTCTTACATTTTTTAAACAAAGCCAACTAAATAGTATTGTCATATATATATACACACACATATATACATACCAATTAAAGAATCTATATTCCTTAATTGAAGGAACAAAGGATAAGCCTGTAGTGATATAATTAAAGTCTTTCTTATTTAGAAAATGGTGAGATTACTGATTCTGGTACAGTGAAAGATTATTTTGTTGCTTAACTTTGAATTGCAGCATCTGCTTTTTTCTTTTTGAAACAGGGCCTCTCTATGTATCCCTGGTTTTCTTGGAACTCTATAGGCCAGGCTGGTCTCAAACTTAGAGATCCTCCTGCCTCTGTCTCCACAGTGCTTGGGATTAAAAACCTAGCTTGGATTATCACCTTTTTAACTTGGAATTTATTCTTTCTAACAGGGGAGGTAGGCATGTAGCAGTAAAAATAGTTAAAAATGTGGATAGATACTGTGAAGCTGCTCGATCAGAAATACAAGTTCTGGAACACTTAAATACAACAGATCCCCACAGCACTTTGTAAGTATCAA